CGATCCTATTATGAATAATCTGTTCGACAGAAATGTTTTTCTCCTTGTATTTAGTGCTCAATAAGCTTCTCTTTAGTCTGTTACTGCATATTTCTTGAGATAAGACAATGCATGCAATCAGAGCAGAAAAACCATTTAAATGGGCCGCAGAAGAATGAATGAAAAAAAAAACCTTCAAAACGAACTATAGAAATATAGAATTATGCTTTAAAATTTAAAATTTTGGCTGTGTTTGATTAGTCAATGATGAAAATTGATATTCGCGCTTGTGCTACTTTTTCGCGCTTTCGATCTCCTTGCGAGATACTCCTATATCGTTGCATAGTCTTTTGGAGGAATTTCATATTGTTGCACATTCCAACATTCGCTGCATTTTATATGCATCTTTTCTTAAACATTCGTTTTTGTTTAATGGGCCAAGGAGAAGTACGGCCGAATTTGTTACTCAACCAAAGCCTAACCCGGCCTCACCTTACTTCCAAATACAGCCCAATATAGCGTATTGATCCAAATCTTTTCAAATTACTTTCGACTAACCGCTCTTAGTTTTCCTGCCAAAAAAACTGGAGTAAAAAAGTACTCCCTCCATCCTAAAATAAAACAATTTTTAGCCAATTAAAATTTATCCTAAAATATAACAATTTTTCTCGATCAACATTTTCTTTCTCAACCAATCACAACCCTTCACCAAATTTCAAAAAAAAAAAAAAATCACAACCCTTTACCATTTAATTTCCTCACCTAGCTCCACTTCTCAACCAATCACAATATTCCACTATTTAATCTACATATTTTTTTTAGTAACCGTGTCAAACTCTAAAACTCCTTATATTTGGGACGAAAGTAGTAAAAAAATAGGCAACTTTTGCTATAGGACATCCAAAATTTTTGCAATTTATTGATAGACGTAAAAAAACGTGTCACGGCAAAAAGACATCCTAGAAAATGGTAATTTGATAGAGGATACTTTCGATTCAATTGGATTGATAAATTCTTAAGAAAGATGAGATGCCCTGACCAAATGCTTTAAACATGATGTTAGAGTAAAAATTTAGAAATTATGCAAGTTTAAATTTGCCATCACCTCAAATACATCACTCAAATACATCACTAGTACACACTATATTTCATTTTGCTACAGTCTCCGCTCAAAAGCTTTTGACCCTAAGGGGCATTCCAGTCTTTTTAAAGAATTTCTCTCCAAATGAACCGAAAGTGTTTTCCAGCAAATTACTAGTTTTTTTAAGTATATTTCAACCATGACATGTTTTTATTATGTCTACCAGCAAATCATACAAATTTTGAGTGTTCTGTAGCAATTTTTACCCAAAAAAAATATATGTTACTGCAGATTTGCAGCTGAAAGAAATCAACACTGTCCATGGGCCATGGGCAAGAGCCAAGCTGGATTTTTCACAATTTGGTTCTTTTGAAAAACTCATTTCACAAATAGACCTTTGAAAAAACTTATTCCGAAAATAGTCCTTTTTAGGCGGCACCAATTATATTAGCGTGCTCCCCCTGCCACCTTAGCGCCGACCCGCCACGGTGGCAGGAGGACGGCGCCAATGACTCTAGCACCTAAAAAATTGACTCTTTTTGTGATAAGTTTTTTATGGGTCTATTTGCAAAATAAGTTTTTTAAAAAGATCAAATTGTGATTTCTATTTGCAAAATAAGTTTTTCAAAAAGATCAAATTGTGAAAAATCAAGAGAGCCAAGAGCCACGACGCACAAATCAGCACTGCTCTTTCGACTGAACCTGCAAATCCTCTCCAAACCCCCAGCCAGGAGCGCGCGCCGCGGGGCCCCGGACGCCGGCGAGATGGCAGCAGCGGACGGAGGCGGCGAGGACTACATCAGCGAGCTCCCGGACGCCCTCCTCTCCGTGATCTTCTCCCTCCTCGGCACCGCCGAGGCGGCCCGCACCGCCGCCCTCTCCACCCGCTTCCGCGGCGTGTGGGCCGCCACCCCGCTCCGCCTAGACGACCTCGACCTCCCCGCCCTCGCCGCCCTGGGACTGGGAGGAGGAACCAGAACCACCGCCTCCTCGTCCCCGATCGCGCCGTGGACCGCGCGCGCCGACGCCGTCACCCGCGTGCTCGCCTCCCACCCGGGCCCCGTCGCGCTCTTCCGCCTCTCCCGCACCTCCTTCCGCGGCCGCGTCGCCGCGGCGGAGGCCTGGTTCCGCGAGCTCGCCGCGAAGCGCGCCAGGGAGGTCGCCCTCCTCTGCGCGCCCGAGTGGTGCCACCTCGCGCTCGCCGACCCGCTCCTCGGCTGCGCCACCCTCGAGTCCCTCGCCCTCGGCGAGTGCCGCGTCTCCGACCGGGGGGCCTCCGCGGCCCGCCTCACGGAGCTCACGCTGTCGAGCACCCACCTCTCCGAGGCCGCCCTCCAGAGCGTCCTCTCCGGCTGCCCCGCGCTGCGCACCGTCATGCTCAAGCACGTCGAGGGCCCCCGCAGCATCCGCGTCCGCTCTTGCCGCAGCCTCGTGCTGCTCGGCGTGTGGCAGTACAAGAACCTCGAGGAGCTCACCGTGGAGGACGCCCCCTGCCTCGAGCGCCTCCTCGGCGACATGCGCCTCACCGCGGCCATCAACGTCTCTGGCGCGCCAAAGCTCACCGCTTTCGGCTATGTCGTGATCAGCTCGTCCAATTTCCTCCTCTTCGACGAGGTTATTGAGAAGGTGGTTTCTTGTTTCATTTATCCTCGTCGTTCTCCTACTCTACTCTTTAGTTGCTCTCACTGAGTTATTTTTACTTGTGCATTGCATCAGGATGTCTGTAATGGTTTGCGTGCTCCGCTTCTGAGCGTGAAGATTCTGGCTATCAGTGTAAAGTTCTCGAGCAAGAATGACATGGACAAGCTGATGAACTTGCTAAATTTCTTTCCTTTCGTGGAGACATTGCACGTTCAGGTAACTGGTTGAGCTTGAGCTGTTGCAATACTTGCATTGCACTGTCTGTGTAGGTACTACCTGTTCAATTTAGCTGAACACAGATTCATTGGATTCATCATTCCGTGCAGGCCTCTGATACAAGGTTCGATCTGACTCAGGATAGCACCGACACTGTTGGCTCAAGCTACCACGAAAAGCTTGATCACATTGGGTGTGTCATGAACCACCTCAACAGCGTCCGACTGGAAAGCAAAGTTCACAACATCTACATGCTTGAATTTGCATGTTTTCTCCTTGCTAGAGCACAGGTGCTGCAGCTCATGACGATTCAGTCTAAGGTGTTCAGCACCCCCCAATGCGTTGCAGGTCAGCAAGCTCTGCTCAACCAAAGCCACGTGGCCTCCACAGAAGCTGAGATCGTGTTTGAAGACATGGAAAGCCATGATCTCGAGCACTTGAGCTTAGAGCTTGCGAATACTCTGCCTGATCCCTTCGACACCTATCATCGCTGACTACTGAACTCGCTCTAAATGTTTGAGCTTTGAGGTTTCACTCAGAAGATGACTGCTATCCAGTATTCATGATGCTGTTGGCTGCTCTTTTTGTCGTGTTTAGTTGCCTTTCTGAATCTAGATTATGACCTAGTAGGATGCATTTCATGCTGAAGAGTACTGTATTTGTGATGCCACTGGTAGGCTTCTGTTCTTTCCTATGTTTAGTTGAATTTCTGAATCTACACTACGACTACTGAGTTCTATGGTTACATTTTGAAGATTGCTGACCTGTAGACTGTAGTGTTATGTTGTCTCTGAATCTAGACTATAAATTGCTTAATTTATGTTTCTGCTTCGCTTGTCACTTCTGGTATACCTGCAAGGCTGAAACTTCTACTGGAGATAATTCTCTTGTGTCTTCTCTTGTCATACTGTCGATAGCTTGATCCCTTAATCTGTAGATGTTATAAAAGTTAGTCGATATAGCGGAACGACGACTAACCTTCTCGATCGCTTCAATCATTGATCACCCAAGACATGTCAGATGACGACACAGGAACGCACGATATTTGTTAACGAGGTTCAGCCGAAGCCTACATCCCCGGGGCTCTGATATGGGCGCTCCTCCCCAACCAATATAGCTCCTAGCCGCTACGAGTCCATGGCCACGCCGCCATCATCTCCCTGCGTGTCTACGCTACGTTATAGTCGCCATGATTACATTGTGGTGCCCCCTCTCTATTTAAGAGAAATGACGGGTTACAGAGTCCGACTCTAACTCCACCCCCTAACACCTATTACAACTCCAAGTCCAACTGTAACTAAATAGGACTAGTATATTCGACACCTATTTTAACAAACTCCACCTTGGCGAATATACGCCACCTAGAAGTAGTAGAATCACCATGCCGATCCACCGGTCCTCCAGACTTGGGTTGTCTTCTTTGCAGCTTCACCGCAAGCCGCCCGACGAGTCTGCGCCAGACCCGCCGCCACCAAAAGCAATTGCTATCCCAGCAACCGCTTCCTCCTGGACTACACCTGCAACAGTGCACCCTCGCAGCTTGTAAAGATGCGACTCCACCTTCTCTCCAGTCATCATAGTCATCTTGCCCTTCATGATCTCAATGGTCTTCCTATTCCGATTACCGCGGAATATTAACCCTTCTTCATGCAAGGTTCCAAGCGAAATCAGATTCCTCTTTAGCCCTGGTACATGCCTGACTCCTTGAAGAACATGTTCACCTCCATCTTCTAGCTTGATTTTGACTTCACCTACTCCCACGGCCGGATAACTTGTGTCATCGCCTAAGTAGACAAAACCAAACTCACCAGACTTATATGAAGAGAACCACTCCTTCCTTGGCGTCACATGAAACGAGCTAGCTGAATCCAATATCCACGCTTCTGCATCCTTAGACTGTGCACTTGACATCGTGAGAAGATCACAACCATCGCTATCCGAGTCATTTGAAGAAGTCGCTACATTAGCCTTAGCTTTTCCCTTCAGTGTTGGACACTCCCTTCTTATATGCCCCCACTCATCACATCTGAAGCACTTCACCATCTTCTTCTTTTTGTTCTTCTTTACCTTATGCCCAGCATGATCTTCTTTGACTAGCAAACCCTCTGCTTGAGATGTTTCACCCTCTTTGTTCTTTCTCATCTAATCACGAGCCAACAACGCAGAAGTGATATCTTTAGTTTTGATGGTCTCCTTGCCGTACGTCAAAGTAGTCACCACATGCTCATACGATTCAGGTAATGAACACAAAAGAACTATGGCCTTGTCTTCATCGTCAACTTCCACATCCATCTTCACAAGATCAGTGACTAGTTGATTGAAAACGTTCACATGTGCTGTCAGATCCGCCCCTTCCTGCATCTTTAGCCCATACAACTTCTGCTTCAGATACCGTTTATTGGTCAGAGTCTTGGACATAAACTGAGCTTCCAACTTTTCCCAAATTATCTTTGGTGAGGTCTCCTCCATCACATGGTACATGATCTGATCTGAAAGACATCGCCTTATTGTCGCAGCCGCCTGCAACTGCATCTCCTCACAATCGTCATCCTCCATCTTGGCCGGTTTGACACCCTTCAAAGCCTTTGAAACTTCTTGTTGAGCTAACAAATCTTTGACCCTAGTTTGCCACAAGCCAAAATTTCCGAAGCCGTCAAACTTCACCAAATCAAATTTCATACATGTCGGCGCCAACTTGCCAACCCGCGACCTGACTGGTCTATCGCCACCAGAATACTCGCCTTTCTCAGTACCGTCTGTATTCGTCTTCACAATCTCGTCTTGTGATCCGATCTCAGACATTCAACAGCAAACCGACTGTTTGCTGCACCGATTAGACCAGATCTTCTGCCCTTGGTTTAGCCGCCTGCTAGCTGCCTAACCGTGTCAGCCTGGCTTGGTCCACCCGCACCCGTGCGCCTTCTTCCCAAGAACTCGTGCAATTTGCGTCGTCGCCTGCCAAATAGTCCACCAAACGATGTGTCAAACCTCTGTGTGCCTACGCTGTTGTGAGTTACTTAGCCAATCCTGTCCTGACGCCTTCTTTTAAAGAGCGTCATTAGTCACCGAGTCGGACAGGAACCTGAGTCCTGGACAAACTCGATGAATCCTTCCCATAGAATGCTGCCTAGTCCAAGTCGGGCCCGTGTCAAGCTCCAATAAGAATCGGCTCCAATATATCTCATTTAGCGTCACGTGCCACCACCAAATTTGCACACACCACTTCTTGCTCGAATAGGATTTCTCTGGCCTTCTGACGCACACGACTCCACGTTGAGATCCATGGATGTCCTGCCACATGCTCTCCTCATGCATGACCGGCTTGCATGCATATTTGTTATGCTATTGCATGCAATTAACTGCAGCCCCGCATGCACGTACATGCATCAAGCCCTGTCGTATGATTTTACATATAATTACACCATGCAAACACTAATTAAATTAGTGCATGCTGCCCGTAGCTCCATTGGACTCTTTGTGTGCTGCACTTCTTGTTCACCAGATGCGCGTCTTGTGCGTGTATAGCACGTACCATACGCGCTGTCCGTACACCGTACGCACCGCAGTCGCAACCCTCGTGTTCACCGTCCACGACCTCATCGTCATCGGCCCTCCACGTCCGCCGCGCCGTGCCAGGCTCGCTGGCTTCGCCCTTCCGTCAGTAGCCTCCCTGCCGCCGCGGATCCACATTCACCGCGTGCGTCGGGTGCGCCGTCCATGGCGCTACCCCTCCAATCTCTCCGGTCGCCTTCGGCCACGCCCGGCCCCGTCTTCCGGTCACGTTCCGCCATCGCCGGTCTGATCGCGAGCGAGGTCGCCGCCTCCGCAACATCCTCGTTGTCGCCATCGATCTCATCGCCACGGCTGACGATCTCCTGTCGATGCGCGATCCCCACCTCGTGTTTCCTCCTCCACATGTCTTCTTGATCCAATGCTGAAACCTTATGCTCTGATACCACTTGTTATAAAAGTTAGTCGATATAGCGGAACGACGACTAACCTTCTCGATCGCTTCAATCATTGATCACCCAAGACATGCCAGATGACGACACAAAAACACACGATATTTGTTAACGAGGTTCAGCCGAAGCCTACATCCCCGGGGCTCTGATTATGGGCGCTCCTCCCCAACCAATATAGCTCCTAGCCGCTACGAGTCCATGGCCACGCCGCCATCATCTCCCTGCGTGTCTACGCTACGTTGTAGTCGCCATGATTACATTGTGGTGCCCCCTCTCTATTTAAGAGAAATGACGGGTTACAGAGTCCGACTCTAACTCCACCCCCTAACACCTATTACAACTCCAAGTCCAACTGTAACCAAATAGGACTAGTATATTTGACACCTATTTTAACAGTTGACGGTGTGACATTACATCGATCTTTGCTTTGATGAATTTGAAGAGCAGTTTCGCCCTTTGGATTGAATCCTTACTGGGTACCTAAGCGATTTGGCTGTAGTTTAACTAGTTTCTTTGAAATAAAGGCTGGAATGAATTTTCCATTATTAACAAAAACCTACACGATTTGGGCTACTACTACTACATTGGTTTGTTCCACCTGTTAGACTTTCGCTTTTAACCATCTTCTTAGCAAAAGTTACTCCCTCTGGTGATAAATATTTGATACTTAAAATAAGATTTGTTCATAATTCTAAAACCTTGACTATCGTAAATAAATTTCAAGTAATTAGCTTCTAAAAAAGTTATATGCATAAATTTGCCTTTAAAAATAGTGGAATATTATCATAACATCATAAGCTTATTAACTTGTAAGTCTGTAATAGATTCTATAAAATTACACTGATATCACAATTATGGCAATAAAAAATTGACTCAGTTTTACTCTTAAACATTAAATACTTATGACAGGAGCCCGCATAGTATGTTTGGCTAATGGCATTAGGAAAATATATACTACCATTTCCCACATGTAAGTTTTAATCTTAGCCATTCATTCCTTCCACCCTTATTTTATTTTAGCCCTCCTTTAATTTTCATTCACAAAATGGTTGTCCTAATATTGATTATAAGTCACACGGCTTATTAGAAAAAATGAATTAATGGATAAAACTTTTATATATACGCCCTTATAGAAAAATAGACTTAGATGATTTTTATTTTCAAAATCAAGTTTTAAACTACGTCAACCTTAAGTTGTCAGCACATGTGGTAAATTCATCAATCTCAAAATATACCAGCCTAAATTCTCGAAAGTGTTTAGAACAAGTTTTATAGAAGAGGTAGTTACCACATCTATTTTTGTCCATGTAAAATAAGAGGTGATATATACAATACATCACCTCTACACTACCTTTATCTTACTGACCCTAATGAATTTATTTTTGTTTGTTTGTCTAATCCACTTTTTCTTTTATTTTTTTTCTCTTCGAGTTTGTGTGAATGTTGCTCCTTGCATGAGGAGTGACTCATCTTCCATTTCCTCACTTCTCTCATTCACTTCATCATCTAATTTAATGCAACACTTTTAGGGACATCATATCGAGCATTATAGTACAGTGTGCACGCAAATATATAAGTGAGTACATGCATGTGTATACGTGCGCTTGTATTTGTATAATATTTCTCGAGAAGAACTTACAAATCAAATTTTTCATGCCAAAATAATGCCCTCATCCAAACTCCACTTCTATTTGCCCAATTCGAAAAATACGCTGCTCACGCATTATCCAAAAAAAGTAACCCTATCCAAAACCTCAACTCGTTCCTTCACACAAGAGTTGACCGTTGACCGATCAGACGGATACTGACCGAGAGAGGTGACAAATCCAGCGGTGGACGGCAGATCCTGACCATGAATCAGCCACGTCCCATTTCTATGTGCCAAGGAAACACCCATGTGGGGCCCACAGATAAACGGAGAAACGAGAAATCGGGTAAAGCTCGGCTCGGCTCGGAGACAAATACATAAAGCCGGGCGGGACACGGCGGGTGGACGAACGAGCATGAGCAGCAAGCGGTGACAGAGCAGATCACGCGAGCTTGTCGCCAAGGGGGGGAGGAAGAGAAGTGAGAAATCCGCGCCAAGAAGCGAGAGGTGAGGACGGCGGGCTTAATCCACTGTGGAGATCTCTCACTTCCACGGGGTCTCTTCTTCCTCCGAGAAATTCTTCTTTGGCTAAAGCCGCTGATCTAATTTTCTTTTCGATCCACAGAGGTCCGCAGCTGGTGTCGTCTGGTGCTGCGGGTATCGTCGCTGCCATGGCGGATCAGTCGGTAAGGATCTGCGAGCTGTTTCTGTTTAATCTCTTGGTTTTAGGGGTGCGAAACCTTCGACGTTTCGGTTGTTTGACCGGATCTCGACGCGTTTTTACGGCGGATTTGCTTTTGTCTGGAATTTGCTTGTGTTGACCCTAGCTTCTCTTGTAGATCTGGAAGAAGCTCTTCTCTTAATTTCAGAGCCTTAACTAATACAAGTAACAGTTTGTTTGTTCCCCCCAAAAACTGAACCCCCATGTCCCAAGTTGGATCAGTCCCCTGGCGTGGATAGTTAGATCTGTAGAATTTGCGCTGTAGTTTTTGCATGGTCATACATTTTGTTACATCTCGGTAAATTTTATGGTTGTTCCGTTTCCTCTTCAGTTTTTTGTTTTTTTAGCTGTGTCCTATCATCATCAGCCTCTAATCTGAAGCAAATTGGCTGGTAGACTAGATATGAAACCAAAGTTGAGCCACATGAACCAACTCAAAAAGGAAAATATCCCCTAGCTGAATGATTAAATTGCTACCTGATTAGGTTAGTGTGTCTGGTTGTGTATAACGTGTTTCAAGAATTGACATCACTAGATAATTTTACTCTTGCCGGTCTGCTGAATTGCTATTTTATTTATGATACATACATGATCGTTTAATCGTTGCTTAATTTAACTTTGTCCTCATGGCATTCATGACTACCTTTTCATTAGTGTAGTTCCGTTCAATAAATAATTAAGAGCACAATTGTGTGCTCTCATTTGGAGTGTTTTATAATTTATGTTCTGTGAATCCACTGGAACTGTATGTTGGCATGATTGCCTCTTTTAAATGTATATGTTCTTGCTTTCAAACACTTTCAGGTGTTCTGAACACTTGTGTCTTGTTGTTCTGTATGCATCCTTATATCAGTTAACCGTCATATCTTTCTCTGAATGGCAAACCTTTACACACATTCTATTTCGTTTTGGCTGACCTCGGACTAGTTTTTGGAATCTTACTTATAGGCTAGTTGCTAGTGTAGAAAACATGTAAATGTATGAAATGTCAGACTCAATAATGTATTAAAATTAAGCTTCGTCTGCGCAGTGATAAATCTGTATGAATAAAGGGTAACAGATATGTAGTGGAACTGAACAGTCCATATTGAACATAATTTGTCGACATGCTCTGTTGACATGCTTAGACATGCTGATCTGTGAAGTCAGCTTTTGGGTTTCCCATGTGTACAAAAGGGTGTACATGTCTGCTCTAATTTGTTCATACTAACCTTGTAATATATAAGTTTGAAGGGTTAACTATTTTGATTTTTCCAGCTACCTAAATCGCAATTATATTTTCAATCTTTAGGGTGGTTTCTGATAGTTTATTTTTTTGTTCTTCAGAACAACATGATCATCGAGGAGGTCAACAAGGGCCTGAACCCTGGAACGATAGTCCTTCTTGTGGTTGCAACTCTCCTGATTCTTTTCTTTGTTGGAAACTATGCGCTCTACATGTATGCTCAGAAGACGCTTCCTCCTCGGAAGAAGAAGCCAGTCTCCAAGAAGAAGCTGAAGAGGGAAAAGCTGAAGCAGGGGGTTTCTGCACCCGGAGAGTGAAGAGATTCGTCAGTTTACCAATGTTACTGATTTTATCCTGAGCTTCTTTTGCATGATAAGAATTATCAGCTGGAGCGGCAGTGTTTACAGTAACTATGTTATGTAGAAGCTTTGTCCTAAGTGGTTTACATTTGTATTAGACGCCTTATTTGAGCAATCTGTTGAACAGCACTGCAAATTGAGCCCTTCTTTTGGTTTTGTTTCTGCGTGTCTCTTTGATTTAGCTAGCGATCGTGCCTGAAAATTTCTGCAACCTGCGTAGCCATCTTGCAATCTGAAATCTGAATGATTTATAACTTGATGCTGTTTTCTGTTGTATTTGATGGCTTGGTGCTGACATGCATCCGGCGTGCCATAGTAGCTTGGGCTCCCTCCTTCGCATTTTCAAGTTTGTTGCACAAGATGATGCTTGCGTCATCCCAAATTAAATTGAGCCTGAACAGGCCATACATATCTGAACGTTTTTCAGTTATATTGCTAACTATTCCTAATAAATGGCAAATTGATTAAATCTTCATTTCAAAAGAAACGTGTGCACATAATCCATGCGCTTATGTTGATTGTAATAGCTGTACTTTCGTACTTTCGCGGAAAAAAAAGAGAGCTGCACGCCTATCAGCAAACCCACAAAGACAGATTTCATGCTCCAGGGTCCCGGTTGCCCTTGGATCCTTGATGATGCTTTGATCTGTTTTGGCTCGGCTACTGTCACTAGTCTTGACCATCTCATGTATCCACACCAGCTTGATCCTCTGCGCAACTATGACGTCCAATTCACAATATATAACCATCAAAATATACAATATACAGTTATGAACTCCGTCCCAAGAAAACTCAAAATATCCTAGGTTAATTTTTTTTTAACGGAGAGAGTATGATACATACAGCCAAACAAAATGATGTGATGCAACATTATGATACAACGACGGTTTCTGGCATATGTATATTATCGTAGGCCTTGTTCGGCTGTTTGGTGGATTGGCTGCGTCGCAGCCAACTGCTTCAAGCAACCATTGCTGCCGCACAGCTCTGCATCAAGCAACCAAACATGATAGCAATCTTTCGTACCAAAATAAACCAACCCTTGCCTAAAAATTTAGATATAGAAATTAGTTCATTTTAAAATAGAGAAAATGTATTTCCAAGAGTGAAAAACCTATACTTATGATAGTGCTAATAGATTCACTTGTTGCTTTAATTCTTATGCATAGTGCCAACTACTACTAATTTATTACTCTCTCCGCCCTAAAATATGAGGGATTATAAATAGATATGATGTATCCTAAGAGTATGAATCTGGACATACCCTTTATCTAGATTCATAGCCTAGGATATGTTACATTCACCCACAATCCCTTATATTTAGGGACGGAGGGAGTATATGATAAATCTACTTCATATATGATAATGAGAAGGTTTCATATATGATAATGGGCCTGCTCTGCTGCCCTTTTACTATCACATATTTACTATTTGCCACTTTCACGTGTTACATTTAACGATTTTGTTATTAGACCCACATATTATTGACAAATGTGAGCCCACAAGTCATACTCTATGAGATTGTTAAAATGTCCCTCTTACTATAGTTTTTCTTTTTTTTGGCCCCTCTTAGGGTGTCTTCGTATACACTGGTTCCCAACCCGGAACAGTAACACGAAAAACGGAGCAGTTCATTAGCACGTGAGTAATTAAGTATTTACTAATCTTTTTTCCAAAATAGATTAATATGATTTTTTAAGCAACTTTTGTATAAAAACTTTTTGCAAAAAATACACCATTTAATAATTTGAAAAACGTGCGCGCGAAAAACGAGAGAAATAGGCTGGGAAAAAGGGGTGCTGAACACACCCTAAGAGCATCTTCAACAGAGTGGCCATTTTTGACTCTCCAAATACCAATTTGGCCAGCCTAACAAAAATTTAGAGAGTCAAATTTGTCTTCTATTCCAACAGACTCTCTCTATTAATCAATGGGCCCACCTTTCATTCTCCTCCTCTTTCTTTTTCCTCCCCTTTCTCCAATCCTCTGCAGCTCTGCTCGTGCTCCAGCTTGTGCCTCTGCAGCTCTGCTCATGCTCCAGCTTGTGCGTGGGGTCGGCAGCGGCGGTTGCGGTGGACGACGGCGGCGGTCGCAGCCGGCGACGGCACGGATGACGGCGGAGGTCGCGGGCGGCGACGGCATGGATGGCGGCGGAGGCCGCTGCCGGCGACGGTGCGGACGGCGGCGGAGGCCGCGGCGGGCGACGGCGGTTGCATGCGACGACGTCGGCGCTGTGGACTATGGCCGGCAACGAGATAGGAGGAGAATACGCGTGGGGTCCACAGTTGGCCAGTGATTTTTGGCTGGTCAAATTTGGCTAGTGTGGGGAGGGTTTTGGCCAGCCATATGACTTAGCCATCCTGTTAGAGAGGCTGTTGGAGGGAAATTTCACTGGAATGGCTAAAATTTAGCTTAGAGAGTTATTTGGAGAGGCTGTTAGAGAGTTATTTTACTAGAACTTAATTTTGAATTTGATTTTTTGGTTTTTCACCGTAGTTTATTTTAGGTCATTTGCTTTTGAGTGGCTAAGGACACCATGTAAAAATTTTACACACAAATAAATTTTTATTTAATAATAAGTGATTCGAATAAAAGAAAATAATAGGATTGTACTTACTATGTCTTTGTAAGGATATCCTTATCCTATCCAGCAGGTGGCGATGACATGTTTATTTTGTCCCATTTTGACACATGCACCGTGTGACCATCTGCTGGGTGGGGTCATCTGCCCAAATATATTGTTGTCTTCCCCTTCGATCCCCTCCTCCTCGCTCGAATCCTCGTCCTGCCGTCTCTCAGAACTCCCCCAAAAATTTCAGTAGTATTCCTCACTCGCACCTTCCAATCCTATCAGATCATCGAACTCCTTAACCGAATCCCGTAAGCGGGAGGGCGAGACCCGACGATCGATCGGCCACGAACAGCGGAATAGTGCAGCAGCTGCCGTAGGCTAAATAAAATATCTAAAAAAGGAGAGGTAGGGATTGAGGTTTGGTGGAGATTGATACAACCCCTTCTCGATTAAGAATTGCTCCTCTTTTTCTTTTTCTTTTTTCGCCAGAGTTTGATCCATCGTTGGATCCAGAGTTGCAGGTGTTTGGTCCCGGTCAGCCATGGCGGATCAGTTCGCGGACTCTGCGGTAAGGAACTTACGGGCTTCTTATACTTCTTTTGTTCCGTTGATATGGTAGTGCCAATGGATTCACGCACTTGTTGCTTTTTTTATGGGTAGGGTTAGATCTGTCGGATTATTGCAGTAGTCTTTGCATGGTCATACATTCGGTGGCCATTCATTAGGGAGTATTACTTACCATGATGTCCATGATGTACACTTGATCTTTTAGTTTCTTAAACTTAAATTAATTTTTGAATCAAGTTATATCGCGAACTTTGCGCTTTCCAAATTCCAATAGTTCATTTTTTGTTCAGTTATCAAGTCCACATTGTTTGTTCACTATTTTGAATATTTTTTATCCTGTAAATATGCTGAAATTGAATGTTGACATAGATTGCTGCTGTTTTCAATGAATATATATATGCAGTTATGCACTGCCATCCCATTTCCCTCTGTTCAACCTTGTATGTGATTACTACCAACCTTGTATATGTCTACTGCATATGTTTAATAGCCATCCTGTGTATCTTATGCAAATGGTAATTCTAGGCAGACCACTTCACTTTATCTATCATGTTCCATTTAGTTTTGGCCACTCTTGGATGGGCTAGTTGCTAGTGTTGAAAACATGCAATCCTTAGTAATAAGCTTTATTTTGTGCTGTGATCAAACTGTACAGAACTACAGATGTGGGTGACTATACAGTACAAATAATTGTTATCTAGCTTTCGAATTATCTGTGTATGGAGATCTATACATGGCAATATGTGCAGACTCATCCATGTCCACAGATATCTCTGCTCTGGCTCTATGTGTCTAGTAACTTGTAACATATACTCCTATGGAAGGGTTAACTTCTTCTAACCCTGCAAGCCTCATAGTATTTTTTCGATAAAGAAGTCACATACATTTAAATTGCAGTGCCCTTTTGTCATGCATAGTGCTTGATAGATTTGTTTTCTGGTCTTCAGAACAATGTAGTCATTGAGGAGGTCAACAAGGGACTGAACCCTGGAATGATAGTCCTGATTGTGGTCGCGACCTTCCTGCTGCTTTTCTTTGTCGGGAACTACGCTCTCTATGTGTACGCTCAGAAGACGCTTCCTCCTCGCAAAAAGAAGCCAGTCTCGAAGAAGAAGATGAAGAGGGAAAAACTGAAGCAAGGTGTCTCTGCCCCAGGAGAGTGAAGAGAGCCACCAGTTATGATGTTGCTGATTTGATTCAGACGACCCTCTTCGCTTGTTAGAAAACAGGATATATATCAGCTGGAACCGCAGTGCTTACAGTTACTATGTTCTGTATAAGCTTTATATAGTGATTCTCCGTTATTGGACAACTTATTTCAGCAAACGGTTGAACCTTAGCCCAAATTGATCTATTGTGCTGTTCGTATTTTTAAGGCTTTCAAATTTTTAGTAGTAGTGGTCTTCTGCAAACTCTGTCTCCTGGGCCTGGATGACCCCTTTGAATCTGTTCTGTTTTTGGTTGCATTTGATGCCACCGACTTCCTTCTGCCGCTTCAGTTGTCTTTTTATGAAAGATGACATCGGTATCGGTGATTCTGAAACTATCGCAACAAAGAGCTTTGCTAAATAGAAGGATCAAATCAGAACTAGTAATGGTCCCTTTGATTTGTAGGAAAAGTAGGAAAAGTGTAGGAAATTTAGAGGATTTTAATCTTATGGAAAATATTCTTATGGTAACCTTTAAAACAAATGATTGAATCCTATCATATCTTTTAAAATTCTTATGGAATAGGTAATCCTATTAAGATTTTAGAGGAAAGTTAGCAAGAGGTTCAACCTCTTGGAAAAATTCTTTTGAGTTTATCTCTCTCATCCGACTTCTGTGTTTTTCATGTGATCTAATCAAACGGCTATTCCTGTGTTTTTCTGTATTTTCCAATTCTCTTACACTTACATTTCCTATCCCAATCCTATGTTTTTTCTATTCCTCCGTTTTCCATTTGATTCAAAGGAGCCCTAACATCCTCATTGTTTCAGCCAAAGCTAACAACCATGGATCATCTAGTGATCATGCATTAGATTTGCAGTCGCACAAAGCGAGATGCTCTCGCGTGCATCCCTTTTTGTCCTTACACAAGTGTCCGTACCATTTGTGATCCGATCTCGAAAATGACAGCGAAAAAAACCCCCCACTGTGTTCGTGTAACCGTGCTTCTCTCGCTGTGCAGAGCAACAGTTCGTTACTGCTCTGCCTCAGCTCGGCTGCATCTCTCGGCATCCACCGATCGGACCGGCCACCTCACATCTCCCCGTCGCCGCCGAAGCCTGCACGCGTCGTCGCCCACATTTTCCCACTTTCCACGGCGAACTGACGGCGACGCCGCGGCCGGCGCAGCTTGTGTCTTCCAAGCCTCGCCTCGCCTCGCCTCGCCGGCGCCGTGTCCCCCTCACTACCTCCCCCTAATTAAAAAAAGCAGTAAGCTAAGCTATCGGCTATCGCCTACTCTTGCAATGCGACGAGACGGGAAAAATCTAAGCCGCGGGACGAATCGAGCGCGAAAGCTAGCCCACTCGATCGAAAAAGTTCTTTTAGGAAAAAAAAATGGCGTGAGGAGGGAGACGGCCGCGCGCACCAACCGGCGACAGCCGCCGGCTCACCCGACTCGATCGGGATCCCTTCCCCTCCACTGCACTGCACTGCCAATGACAGCTCTCGCGCGAGGCTAGCTCTCGTCTCACCTAACCTAACATCGCCAGGTTTTTCTGACAGAAGCGACTCCTCATCCGTCGTCGCAGACAAATGAATGAAATGATTCCGCCATTTTTTTCTTCAATTCTTTTCTCGATGGAGTAGCTCTTGCTTGTGCGATACACCCGCAGGTTGGATTGGCAGGAGCCATGTTACGTCGGTCCATCCCGTCCCGTTGCTTAGACATGCAGCATCCGCGGCGGGAAGCCGGGACGGGGGGCAGAGAGGGACAGGATCGTGGCGGGGGGTATAAATGGCGGGAAGCGAGGAAGAGGAGAAAGAAAGAATATCCACCAGTGTAGACTACTGCAGTACAGATCAGAGGGTGTATTGCAGTATTGGGTAGTTGGATATGCAGGGGGAGGTGGATCAGCCGATGCAGATGGTGCTGCGGGTGAAGCACCCGTCGTCGCTGGGCGGCGGCGGCGGCGGCGGGGAGGAGGAGGCCGGCGAGGCGTCGTCGAGGTCGGCGCTGTCGGTGTTCAAGGCCAAGGAGGAGCAGATCGAGAGGAAGAAGATGGAGGTGAGGGAGAAGGTGTTCGCGCAGCTCGGCCGCGTCGAGGAGGAGTCCAAGCGCCTTGCCTTCATCCGACAGGTCACTTTCCGACTTGGAATGTCTGCAGCTTATTCATGTCACGTTTTCAAAATACAATTCATATATGTCCTAAGAGCTGTTAGTTAGGTTTATAATTTATGATATTTCAGCTTGATTTCGTCTGAAAGAACTGCAGAAACAGCACGGAAGTAGCAATTGCTGTTTCAGGACCCTAAAAAGGAACAATTCTTTTTTATCTGTACTTGTAACAGAGATCGTGTGATATAGGACACGTACTGCATACAAGTTGATGATGCTTAAAGGCACACCAAATGATCAGCTAGCTCAGAAAAGATGCAAGAAAATTTTAAGAGAAATTTTACGGTTCTTAAGAAAGTATCTAAAGGTATCAAAATTTTATACTAAAAAATTTTTTTTAGTACCTTGAGATACTGAGTACCTAGAGAAAAATTTGGTACCTCTAGATACCTTCTTAAGAATGGTAAAATTACCCAAATTTTAAATATGAATAGAGAAAAAAAATCAGCTGCAAATGATGCGTGTGGCTGAATTGTTTGTTCTTTGATAGGAACTGGAAGGGATGGCGGATCCAACCAGGAAGGAGGTGGAGGTGATCAGGAAGAGGATCGACGTGGTGAACCGTCAGCTCAAGCCTCTCGGCAAAACCTGCGTCAAGAAGGTGAAGGCACAGACTTGATGTGCAGAACTGCACATAAATACATATTTAGGCATGAATAGCATGAGCGCATGACACAGATTTGATTTGCAATTCAACAGGTTCTAACTTTTTTAGTACAACTTCTTGAACATAATAGTCGGAATACCCTGTCGAAACAATTTGCGACGTGATACGATGAATTAATTCCAAGGGACTGAATAAGCTGACACAACTATTTGTCTGTCTTGAATTGAAAACTTATAAAGGAGAAGGAATACAAAGAAATCCTGGAGGCGTACAACGAGAAGAACAAGGAGAAGGCACTGCTTGTAAACAGGCTAATTGAGGTGAGTAGAATTAATAAACGTTTGTCACACCATCTCTTTGATCTTCAGATCGTCAAATCGGTCACTGAAAACTTATAATTTCGACGCAGCTGGTGAGCGAAAGTGAGAGGATGCGTATGAAGAAGCTCGAGGAGCTGAACAAGACGGTCGATTCACTCTACTAGGCGCCAGATAATGTTATCCCCTAGAGGCATATAATTCCTCTCTGTAATCTCAGTGCCATGGATTTGTGAAATGTTCACGTGACCCGTTCATGTTGCTTGTAACTCAAGAGTGATTCGTTCTCTCTCTTTTTTTTTTCGCCTCTTCTCTCAGTTAATTAATTGGCTTGGGTGTTTGTTGCGTTGTCACTGTCGAGTAAAACTGACGTATTTAAGCAAGAACATATCATGGAAACAAGGCTAGGAAAAAGAAGGTGAAGGATGTTACGTCGACTCACTTTTGTTCTTCCTTTCATTCTGTACAAAGTAATGTAATGCGACCAGCCAACCACCTCCATTGTTGTCCTAGCTGAATTCAGAGGCTCAGAGTTTCTGAAAACCAGAGTTCCATGAATCCTTACAATTGGGAGCATTTCTGGCAGTTCAGGTCATTGTTTCTCCAGGAATGGTTCTTGCAGGACACTGCAGTCTGGGAATGGCCCTTGCAGAAAGTGCTGTACTGCTGTCACCAGAAGTCCAGAATGATCACATCCTAGTTATTGGCCAAGCTAATATGATCAGCTCATGTTGGCTGGTAGGTCACTGGCGTTCAGCTAGCATGAAGTTGATTAGAGTAGTTCTATTAATTCTTGGTTGGTGGAGTCCGAAATGGGCCATGGATTGCAGTCCTAAGTCCCAAAAGGCTAACAACATACTAGTCCTAATAACATTTAATTACGCTCCAGGAAGGCAGGGAATGATGAGCATTTGCTTATATAACAACTAGCTGCGGTTGGTTGGCTCTTGATGAGAGGGATAGATACTATAATGAGACGGGCCACATGGACCCGGTTAATTAACTAGTGCATCCACACACACAGAAAGGTGATACAAGCGATGAGAGTGTTTCTTTCTGTTCCATTCTTCCGGGTACTGGACTACTATCACCTAATCACCGTACAAAAAGGCCATTGAAGAAGGTGAAACAAATCGCTCCTACTCTAGCGATCTTGACAACGGCGAGGAAACCACGGAGACCCTCCAAGATTGGCTTTCATTAAGTGTAGTGAGGGTGTCATGGATGGAAGAAATGGTTGGATGACAATGAACAACAGTAGCCGTTAGAGAGACACCGAAGAATACGCCATGAAGGCTGGGGTTGCTACGGTGGGCAAGTTCTCGGGAGATTGATCTGAACAATTCAATGCTGTATTTTTCACTTTTTTTTTTGAGAAATGGATTTTTCACTTCTTGATCATTTTGAAAAACTTATTTAACAAATAGATCTTAAAAAACTTATTCCAAGAATACACCCTTTTCGTGGCGCCAATATCATTGGTGCACCAATGATGTTGGCGCCGTCCCCCTCGTCTCTAGTGAAAGCTAAGTCGCTAAGGCCATTCCCAATCTAAAACATTAGACATAATTTTCATAAACTCCACATCATCAAGAAACTAGTACTAGACACTATTCTTCCAATGCAAACACCAATATTCCATACTTAAATTTAATGCTACTTATCTCACTAATGTCTTGGACGTTGTGTAGAAACCATGTCTCATGCAAGACATGGTTTCCTTCTCTTTCCTCATTATTCACTTGCCACATCATTTTTCATCCTATGTGATAGCTTATTTAATGCTATGTACACCATCCTAGTTATTGGGTTGGGAATGGCCTAATGTGATAGGGGACGGTACCAAATCACCAATATCATTGACGCCAAGGATCTATTTGTGAAAATGTAAAAGACCTAGAGTCCCATCTTTTCGTTTATGCTTATGCTTATCAGTCAAAATTTAATTTTTCAGCTTTAAATTTGGAGCCGATTTGAGTTTCTCGA